CTCATTCACATTGAAATGATATTTTGTTCTGGGTTTCTGATGCCTGATACCTGATCCCATTGAAACCTCATGAGCACACAGGCTGGTGTGCTTCTACCATGTGGACTTGTTGCTTCTCAACTGGATGGCCTCTTATTTATCTTCAAGCCTTTAAAACCCCAGATGCTTTATCTTTTGATAGCCGGGTACCATCAGCTTTCGTCACCACATTTGCTTATGCATCCATTTTGTCTTCAGCGATCGTGTCAGGAAGGTGAGCATCACAGAATGCTGGGTTATTAGAACAAAGTATTCTTACATTGAGGGAGTACTTGAGTAGAGGCCCAATGTCCATCTGCTTTACTTTTAATACTTATCATATAAATATACGTACATAGAACTATTTCCCTATCATTATATATAAATATATTTATGTATGTACATACTTGTATTTAGACTTCTATAAATTTTCTTTGCCTCCTAATTCTTTCCTTTATTTCCTTTGACTTTCCTCTTGTCCCACTATCATGTTCAGCCTTCATTCACGTTTCAGTAATTCCTCTCAGTTACATTGCCCTCGATCAAACCCTACTGGGCACCCTATGCCCTAAAATCTATCGATTTTAGATCACTTGTTCTATTGTCCCTGGGTTTATTAACACCCACTTCCTTTCCCACACTTGTATGTATGTACCCCATTCTGTTTGTCAATTCATCAATTGGTTGGCATCTGGGGTCTAGCCAGGATATGTAAGCATAAATTCAGACAATGATTATTAAACTACTCAGTCTGTAGGAGAAATAAAGTCTTGTGCTCAAGAACGCATAACCAAACTCAGTGCCATCGAGTTGATGCTGACTCACAGCAACCCTGCATGACAGGGTAGAACTGGTATTTTGTAGATTATAAGTCTTTCTTGGAGTAGAATATCTGGTCTTTCTCTGATGGAGTGGCTAGTGGTTTTGAACTGCTGACCTTTCAGATGACAGTCCAACATATAACCACTATGCCACCGGGGCTCCCCAAAAGTCTTGGTACCTATTACAATATGTACACAAAAGGGTACTCTGTAGGTATGACCTCAGTTATATAAAAAGACAAGAGAAGTCAAATGTGTAGAGAGCACAGTGTATCAGTGATTAACAGAGGCAGGAGTAGGGAGGCATTGTTAATGATGATGGAAAAATCGCATTGAATAAGGGTAGAGTTCAATGACCAATTATAGTAATTGCCATCAAGAAGTTGTGCACATGTAAAAAGTTGAGTTGTCCAAAGTGTGTGATAAATATACTTATATGACCTGACCGCCCCCCTCCCAAAAAACGAGTAGCTGCTAAGGCTGCCTATGTACATCCAAATACCTCCTGGAATTTCTTTCACTGGTTTGAGAGTTAAGAGTCATGGTTTCATGGCTCAAGTAAAAAGAAAATGTTTTGGAAATATTGATGGCAGCGTATGTACAAGTGTGCTCAATACAACTGAAGGATGGATTGTTATAAGATTTGCAAGAGCCCCCTGATAAAATAATTTTTTTTTAAGCCTTGGTTTCATGGAACAAACCAGTTAACTAACCTAATCACATGTCTGGTGATTCTATTTAACTTCCTAGCTTGTGGCTTAGTCCCTTAAAAGCTCACAAGTGACCATCCAAGGCTCAGCCACAGCTCTCTACTGACCCGGGGCCACAGAGGACGGGGAGTCAGGGACAGGAGGAGGGGATGGACTACGTGGCTCATCGCCTCCATGGAGAACTGCCATCTTGGCCATGAGACCAGCCACCATTATTGAACATTCTGATCAAGGATTCTATAAAGGAGTCCTGCTCAAAAGCAGGGGTATGGGAGTGGGGTGGGCAGAGGATCAAATTCTCATACTTCGGACTTTCTGGAGCTATGAAGGCTGACTGAATCCCTGAAATGATCTTTAAACTTTAGTTCAAAAATATCTCTTGAAGTCTCCTTAAAACCGCCCCCTCATTAAGCTTAACTAGTGAGCAATGTCTGCCTAGAGCATTATGTAAGTTCTGCTGAAGCCCCTTACGCATCATGGCAACACGCAGGTTCCACTGCCAGACGCTCGCTGCCTCTTAAGACACTCTCGTTCACTCATTGCCCCTTAAGAACTAGGAGGCTTCAAAAAGTTCTTGAAAATGTAGAATTAAACCATAATTGGGATTTTCCCACGAACTTTTGGAGGCCACCTCTTTGCAACATGGCATCAGATTAACCACGGAGAAGTGCAAGGTTAGCTAGGACTGAACAGGCGGTGAGTGCGGACTGAGGAGCACAGAGCGATCTCAGAGAAG